TTTTATTAGATCAAGAATCAGTCAATTCAGCATTCAGTTAATGCAGTGATTATACAGTAAAGTAGCTTTTCTGTAACTGGTAATAGAGACTGAACTTTAAAAAGGAGACAGCATTTGGTAGAAAAAAAACTGATAAAGAGATGAAAACAGATGAACATGCGAAATTTAGATATTTTTGGTGGTTATGGTGTGATAAGAAATGACATCAAACAGAATCCCTTATGTAGTGAGCGAAAGGCTGAATGGCGAATGGAGACATGGGAAGAGGCCCGCTGAATAACCTGGATGAAGCGGTGATGGGAAGGAGGAGGGATACATGACAGACAGCATGAGAGACAAAGTGACAGTGACAGACAATTCATTTAAAGAACAGAGGCTGGAGACTTGATTGGCTCACAGAACACAGACAGATGGGTCACTGGATGAGACTACCAATGTCAAAATGAATGGATTTGACATCAAGTGAAAGCCAATGACAAAAAAACAGAGCAGCGAATAGAGCTTATAGTGCCAGAACACCCCCCAAAAAAAAAAAAACCAAAAAAAAAAAAACCCAACCTTTAGTTTAATGTGATATGAAAGGGGTAACTGTTTCCTCAGTGGGTAATAATCATAATCATGATAATCATAAGTTTTGGTGTTTTTGTAATTGTCAAAACTGCCTAAAATTACTGTTTTTTGATTATCTTCATTTAAATAAATAAAAGCTGACTTGCCTTTGGAGGTTTTGAAGATTGATAATTGTAATGTGATTATACAGTTTACATAAAACATATTCGATTTTCACTTCATTTACCTTCATCTGTTTCATTCTGACAAGCATGTTTTTGCTCATGTTTTGCTAATAATGTGTTGTCAAGGTGAGAGTAGTTTCATGTAAAGCTTGATGAATCTGTTTTTGACTATCCAGATATTCCTTTGTTGGTTTGGCATGTGTTTTTCACTCGTGAGATGTGGATATTCGTTTTTCCAGAATCTGGAAATAATTACCATCTCAGCTTGGGCGAATGACATCCCTCTCGCTCACAGCAGTGATCTTCACACTTCAGTTCACCTCATTGCTGCCAACTTAGCGACTTTGATGCTAAATTTATCAGCTTTTCATACCCTTTTACATACTTTTTTTTTGTTGTTTTGTTTTATGCGCACAAAAAAACAGTCGCCACTACAGCTCTGGGAGACCGATGTGTTGTTCTTCTGCCACAAGCACACCTCATTCTTCTGATCTGATCTGTTGAAGAAATTGCAGTGAAGCAAGTAGCAAGGCCTGTTTGTGTTGCGCCCCTGCTGCCATAATCAGACTGTCCTATACTACGCTTATCAAAGCACAGTTAAAAAAAAAAATACACAAATCAGCTACTGTGAAGCACAATAACACCTAATTACTGTACTGTTTGTATCTGATTGTAGCAAGCAATTTGGAGGTTAAAACACAGACATTCAAAGATTTGGAACAACATTTATGCAAGTACTACAAAGTAAATCAGATATTTTTTGTTGTTCAAAGTGATTTCTTATTTAAAGTGGACCAATTATGAACATATTTCAGCTGGAACAGGCTCCCAGCTCAACCCACAACCCTAAGATGGATAAGTTGTTGAGAAAACAGACAGACCTCATTACTCTACCCCTTCTTCTCTTACTAAGTGTATTTTTTGTGATTGCAAAAGTGTCATGAAGTTGCTATTGTCTCTTTGGTTGTTTTTGCTTTTTTCCTGTTTTTAACCCAGGCTCTAACTTAGCATTCAGTACATCTCTTCAGTCGTCTCACAGTTGAAGACTCTAGTGCGTTCACCCCAGTGGACAATGAAAAAGATGTAATCGTGATGTAATTTTGGAGGAATGGGACCGTGCAGCAACTGCAAACTGAAGTTTTAATGGCTTTGTATTAAAATGGCTCATTTTTTTTTGTGAAGCAGCGAAAAACAGCCAAGCATAGACGTGCACAGACGATCACAAACTGCCTCTGTAATGATTAAATACAAAACTAAAAGGATACTTGCCACAAAATCATCGTGCGGCTGCCAGAGATGGAGCTGACAGGCTAGGACTGTAACACAAATGTTTCTTTTTTTGAAACATATTCAGTGTATTTTACAATATAATCAAATATAAGTAAGCCATGCTGTTTAGATTTGACTACATATGGTTCAGCAATTCTGTGTGTTGTTGTAGTCTGTTCTTCAAGATGAGCATTTGTGCTCCAACTGTGAAAATGTGCGCTTATTGTTGTCCTCTGTAAAGCACACGCTGGCTAAGTATTTATATAAGACTGATGCATTGAACTGTACAGGTTAGGTTACATTGCATTTGAAATATCTGTATTTTGGTTCACAGCACAGTTGATTTATCATCGACTGCACAGAAATGGCTGTACAGCCAGCCAATTGACAAATAGCAGAGCTTCAGTAACATTATCTGTATCTGAAGTGAGATAACTGTTACATTACAGCTGTCTAAAAATAAATAAAAAAAGGAACACAATGTGAGATTGTGCTGAAGATTATATCTAATTTTAAATGTCCGAAAGAAGACCGACACACAGGCAAACGTCCTGCATACCAGATAAAGGAAAACAGTGTTTGTTACGGTGTGTTTCAAGTTTAATCTGCAAAACTTTATTATGTTTTGGGAAATGCTTTACTGCTCAGTTTCATCAAAATATAATTTTACCCAAATACGGTTGTCTTGCAGTTTGCCTATAAATTACTGAGCAATAACAAAACATTTCTCACATCTTTCTCTCTGTACGTCTGTTATTTCGTTTCTCCGTTTATTTATTTGTTCTGCTCGACTGCAGATTAAAGACGTTCCTGCTTCTAGTCACACCACCACGTTGACCATTATGCATGAAGACCTGACTATATTCCTCCTGAGCGTCCAACATTCCCCCTGAAAAAAAAAAAGATGTATTTTGAGATAATAAAAGTGACTCGCGCTATTGTGTACGCTACAGATAAAATCTTAAAGCGACGAAGCACCATAACAGACTTACTTTAATCATGTTTCACTTTCATAAGCTTCCCAAATCTCAAGCCTAGTTACACATTCATGAAGCCAAAATGTACCTATAACTTGCAGACAGCCCAGGGTAGGTGTTAGAGGAGTCTTGTAGCAGCCATAGGCAAGTTTGGAAGTCAAATCATTAGAAATTTGTTAAAAATTGTTCAAAAGTTCACCACTTTTCCTCTCGCTGCTTCAAAATCATCCCCGTAATTTCTTGCTGTTAACTCTACCTGTAACAGAACAGAGTGTAAATGGGGTGTAATGGGTGGGGTTGGAGTTGTGTCACCTTCAATAACTAGTTTGATGAATCAGTCAGAGAAAATCTGTTTTGCCGCGCAATTACAGAGCAAAGGTGATAACGCATTTGCTCTCCTGTACTTGAATGAAGAGACAGAGGATAACAAGCACGCTGGAAAAAGCTTCTGTCAGTGGGGCAAAATTGTGTGTCATCACCATCTTCCACTTTAGTGTAGGTATTTTATAGCACCATAGATATACAGGAGTTCAGCTGCAGTTATTCTGACTTAGAAAATATCACAACATTGTTAAATGTGATAAATTTGATGCTTTCTAAGTGGACGTTTGTCTGTAAAGCAGTGGCCCACACAAGTCTCCCCTCTCGCTGAACTTTTGAAATTTTTTTTCCTAAAAGACAAATTTTGCATATATGGAAATATTAGTTATTCAATTAAATTCAGACGACTCCTCGAGTTATTGAGTAATGCATTAAGGATGGTCTGAATCCACCATTGGAATAAAGAAAATAATGTAACCAAGTTAACAAGTTTGTATTGATTTATTATTTTTTTTAGTACATTCAGCATTTATATTTAGTTCAAATTCAGCAATTCAAAGTTATTTTATTGGCATGGCAGTTTTCAAATAAACACATATAATGAATATATAATTATATGTGTATGTGTGGAAGATGTGCCTTGTCCTTCTCCTTTGAAATGTCTATTTAAGTTTGGAATTGGTTAAAGGAAGTGTTCCTTACCTCACTAAATTTTTTACACTTCAGGAGGAAAATACATCTCTGTTTCTGTTTCAACCTCACCTATCAAACAGTAATCACATGTCAGGCTTTCTTTATGTTGCCATGCCTTGTTGTGTCTTTCTTGTTTGATTGCCAGTTTGTTTTCACCGAGCTTATACTGGCTTAGGATCTGTCTCTGCTTTCTGTCTCTGATGGTAAGGAGATATTCTTCCATTTCATAGTCTTTGTTTAGCACTAAATAAAACATGTGAGTCTGCCTTGGGTTTTAGTTTCTTCTTTCCAGTGTTTCAGATAGTTATCTTTGCGTTGTTTTGATTTGGTTCACTCTGATTGGTGTTTAGAAAGCAGTGTTGTGAGACTGATCAGCGTGTGTTTGAGAGGAGGCAGTGTAGTATCAACACTAGCTGACACATGGGACTCTTTTCTGGGCTCATCTCTTGGGTTTGGAGGGCTTTGCATTGGATGGTGTCTTGGGGCCTGGATTTAAGATGATTAAAAAATGTGAGTGCTCTCGTTTGAATGTTAATTGTCAGTGAACATCTGCCTAATTCTGCTTGACAGACATTTGTTGGTGTGCTGCTGCTGTGTGTGTAAAGCGTATATAGAGAATTCTGCATGTAGATGTTTCAAAGAGTGTTTATCTCAATAGGTATAGCTCTGATGAATAAACCCCATACTTTGCTAACCTAAGTAGGCTTTTTGCAAACTCCCCAAATGATGTGGTATGTTCTGAAAAAATACTACAAAAAAAGTAAACTGTCAAGAAGTGGATTATATTCTAGCAAAAATAATATTCCTCTGAGTTTTTGAGTTATTAGTTCCAAGAAACCTGTGTCTTTGTGTGAGCTTCCATGTGCACACCGAATTGAGCAACACGCAGAGAAAATTCAATATGTGCTCCCTACCAATCCATTTTAATGAAGATGAAGTCTTTGTAATTGCCCACGTCTGCTTCATATAAATTAATGCACTCTCTTTTTTTTCTTGCCTCTTCCAGATATTAACGAATGCGAAAGGGACCCGTGTAAGAATGGGGGCATTTGCACAGATCTGGTTGCCAACTATTCCTGTGAATGTCCAGGAGAATACATGGGGAGGAACTGTCAATACAGTAAGTACTCCTGTTTCTTTTTTTGGCAATGTTTACCTTCTAACTCTTACAACATACCATTGATTCGAACAGCACACCTGATGCTGCAGGTAATTGCACTGCTGGTAGTATTACCGACACAAAGTGATCGATCAGAGAAAAGGGGGGCTGGTAATTCTCATAAAGAGCGTCTGTCTTCTGCTTCAGTGCTTGGTGCACCTCCCTTTGATGATAGATTTTCAATGATATGCAAGTTTATCAACCCCTTAAGTCCAGAGCATTTTAGGAAAATTCCCACATGGAAAAAGCAGATTTAGTGAGTCACAGCTGGAAGACCTTGGGCTCTATGAATAAGTACACTTGGGGGAGTTTTGAAGTACAGTTTGAAGTATCATCCTTATCATCACTTCAGAGTAAGATTTGAACATTTTCACCTAAATGTAAATAGCAGCTTTATGCAAATGTGACATTGATGTTGTTGTGCGTTTTAAAAAATGTAACTCTTTCTCTGAATAAGACATCAGTAAAACATTATAAGATATTGTAATGCATAACAATTAATTATTATAAGCACTAAAAATAATGTATTTCAAGTCCAGTATTCAAATGCTTGCCTTCAAACTAAAATAACTCTGTGTGCTGAACAACATGACATATTATAACTACTATGACTTAACCATTTATAAAGTCACAAAGAGATCCATCCCTACATATCAGCGTTCTTATAAATACCCGATTCTGGTGTTAACATAAAGTGAGATTCTTATGCAAAGTGACTGGAGGAGGTTATTATTAGCAAAGCTATGGCACTATAACACATTCTCAGCTATATTCTTTGCTGCTTAGTGTTAGACACAAAGAATCAGATGACTACCAAAACCTTATCAAGTGTTTATTTTCCAAAACACACAGTTCCAACACAGAAAACGGCACCGTCACAGTAAACACAGCTGCCAGTGGTACAAGTGGGAGGTATTATTGAGTATTCTCCCAGGACAAGTTTGAATGTGAAACAGAAAGTGAGGCTGATGTTGTGAGTGAGTATGTGAGCTCAGCCAGCTTGTATTGGGCAAATAAAAGCTAAAGTGAAAATGATCAGTATTATTAGCATCGCCAGAAGAAAAGAAAATGCATTTTAAGGCTTTAGTGATGAAAGACTGCAAATTTTGTGCGTAGCTATCAAATGTTTACTAATGCCATATAAGTGCCTGAGACTTTAATCCTTTTGGTCTTGTGTTGGGGAGAATATGGTGCTGCCTAATGTAAGGTCAAAAAGCTGAGTCATTTGGGATGCTGGCTGCACAGAAAAACATGCATTTCGTGTTGCTGGTTACAAAAACACAGAAACCTAAACCTGAACATAAAGGGTCTTGGAAATGTTTCATATGTTCTACAAAAGGCCTAACAGAAAATTGCTTCTGGGCTTATTGAAAGGAATCATTGGGTGTGAGGGTTAGATTTCAGGCGAAGAGGATTAATAACTGTAGGAGCCACCCTGTGAACAGTGTGCTTTCTGAGCACCATTAAATGTAAAGAACCATACAGTTAGACTCATAAGTATTTGGATAATGGCACCATTCTTTTTATTTTGTCTGTGTACATCACCACAGTGCATTTTAATTACACAACCAAGATTTGACTGAAGTGACCACTTAAAGTTTTTTCAGCAAGTATTGCATTGCCTGTTTAGGAAAAAATATATATAGCCGTTTTTATACATATTCCCCATTTTCACAGGCCCCAAACAAACTGAATTTAAGGATTGTTTTGATACTCGGATGAAAATCCTTCATAATCAATAACTGCCTGAAGTCTGGAAGCCATGTATCCACTGTAGCCACCTTCAGCTGCTGCTTGCTTGTGTGTCTCCCTGTTTGGTCTGTTGAGTTCAAATCAGCTAACGGTCACATCACTGGTTCCACTGGCAGGCCTACATGCCCATGTCATAACATTGCCTCCACTATTTTGACAGGTAATGTGGTATGGTTTTCAAATCACGAGCTGTCACGAACCTTGTTCACACTTTTCACTTCCTATTATTCTGGTCTAAGTTAATCTGGGTTTCATCTTTTCAAATTTGTTGGGATCTTTGTTGTTGTTTTTCCCTCAAATGTGCAGATGTCTTCTGGCAAAGTCTAATCTAACCTTCTTGTTGAACAGCGGTTTGCACCTCGTTGTAAACTGTCTATATTTCTATTCATGACGGCGTTGACTGTCTTGATTGTCGACCCTGGCAGTAGTACACCTACCTCCATGAGAGTGTGACTGTCTTTGTTAACCAAGGAAAGTTGTGATCATTAACTTTTGTTCTCTTCTGTGGTCATTCAAGCCTTTTGGTGAAACAGAAGTGGCCAGTTCATTCCTTCTTTTCAAGACCATAACATACTCCTAAACCTTTACTATATTTTATCTACTTAGTTTGTCTTGGATTAGTGAGGGACAAAGTCTCACCTACCCATGAAGGTACTTATCAGTTCGTTTTTCCAATTACTTTTCAGATTGGATATAAAATGGTTGTAATTTTCAAAGGTTATGCAGTACTTTTCTCAGACCCCTTGAATTAAAGTTGGAAGTCTAAACTTTAACCACATCTTGACTCTTTGATTTCAAAAGAGGCAAAATGACAAAAACGGTGTCATTGTTTTAATACTTAGAAACCTAATTGTATGCTTTAGTAAAATAGCACATTTTACTAAAGCATACAATTAGGTTTCTAAACCTTTGCAAAAACTGCATGATAGTTGCAGCACGCAACTATCATGCAGTTTTTGCAAAGGTTTAGTTTTATAGCTTTTATGCTTTTATTCCCTTACCAAATAAAACAAGATTTAAAAAGTACAATTTGAGCTTCACACACACA